CTATCAACCTGTAACTGTTATTGTTGATGCCACTGCTGCTGCCACACCTGAGATCCATCATGGTACGTCCTTTTCACTTGCTTAAGAGACTTGCAATTGGCTGAAAATTTATTTGGGATAACTATCGAAGATAGTTGAAAACCTTCTTTACAATATTTACTTATGAAAATACTGTGGCCAGAACAATTTCCTGTTAAGCTCTACCATGTGTGTGTTTTATTGAATCCATTCAAGAATGATAAAATTGTGTGTCTTGTGATATTCATCTAAACTTTCTGGCTAAAGATCGGGTTTTTATTGCTGTTGTAATAAGCATGGGTATATCAATATTTGTACTATGTCCTAATTCTTGCCTATACGTCAATGTTTCTTGAAAACTTCCTGTTTCACTTCTCCACATTTTGCACTCGTTTCTCCAAGGATCACGAATGAGGGACATGTATGTCTGATCAATGAGTTGCTCACTATTGCAAGGGTTGGTTGATTTGTGTTTGATGGTCAATATAGTTTGAATTTCAGGGGAAATTATTTGTTTTTGCAGCTGTATAATGTAGTCAATAGCTTATACATCTAATATCTATTGATCAGGACCCATTAAAATTGATTTTAACTTGGAGAAAGTCATGATCCAGTGGTATGCCTGTGAGAAAGAACATGGTTGCATTCTGGGATGCTACCCTTTCCCTTGTGAATATTATCTTTTTATACCTTTGTGTTGTAGATTGTAGATGCCCTTTAGTCAATTTATTTTTCCTTTTAGTTTCCCCCTTAAAGTCTCTGTGATAATCAAAGTTTACATCACTAGATCTTCATAATGGGCAATGGCTAATGTCTTTCTTTGTTTTCAGCCAACCTATTTGACATGAAAAATATTTGCGTTGCAACCCCAACATTACAAGAATGGAGCAATATGTATGAAGCTTGATCTGTGTGGAGCATGCAACTGTGGGACATCTCAGACTCAGGCTTTGATGTCTTCAGTATGACAAACAGTGAAGCGAAATGAAACGCATGCATTGCTTAACCTAATGGGTTTGTAGCTTTTTTTCAATTTGACTTTCAAAAAAGTGAGATTGGATAAAAGTTAACTTGGATAAAGTGTATTGTGTTTGGATTGGAGTTTAAAAAAGTCAGTTTGTAAAAGTGAGATTGATAAAAAGTTGTTTAGATTATGATTAAGTAAAAGTAAGTTTGTTTGTAAAATTATCAAAATGGGTATGAGTTTTAATAAATAATAAAATATGATTAAAAAATAATTTTACACGATACAATGAATTTAAATTAATTTAATATGAAGAAATAAAATTTAATGAGTGAATTAAATTTTAAAGTTTAGAGAAATCATAAAAAAATATTTTAAATATATCCAGAGGTTAAGAGAATATTATACGAGAGGCCCCTTCTGATTGGAAATAACGAGGAGTGAGAAAAACAAAACCCATCTGACATGTCCAACGGTCCAATAAGCTCGGTTTTCATTTCAATTGGCTCCTAATGTGAGCTTATTCTAAACGAACGTTTTTGATAGCTTTTGGTCCCAAATCTAGATACTTCAACAGCTCTCCCAAACAGGGTTCAGCAAAAATTAAAGCTACTTTTGGGTCAGCATTTGCTGGCCCACAATAATGCAGATGTAAACGGAGGGGGGAGAGAGAAATAAGAGTTCATCCCTCAATTCGAGTCTCTTTGTCACTCCACATCTTTGAAGATCTAAACACTGCATCCCCTAGCACGCAGTTGTTTTTTCTTTCCTTGGAATGCTTCTCCGATAATAGTTTGATCAGTATCAACAGTATGTAGTAAGAGCACAGGATGATCTTTCAAAAATAATATTTTAGAGAGTATAATATTGATAGAAATAATAATGGAGTTGATATTCTTATTACTAGGTTTACCTAAATATAACAATTTTATGTTAAGGTGCAAATTTGTCTCTAAAATTTTTCATTCAGGAGTTTTGGGTATTTGGAATTTGTTTGAGAGCAAATATGTCTCAGAAGTTTAAAACTGTAGCAAAATTATGTTATACCATTAAAAATATTAACATTTTAATAGTCAACGTTAGTTTTTTATAATAAGGGGTAATATTGCTAAGATTTTAAACTTTCATAACAAATTTATTCCCAAAACAAATTTATGAATATCCAAAGTTTCTAAGTAAAAATTTTTATAACAAATTTGCACTTTAATTCAATTGTTTTTAGTAAAATACAAAAAAGAACAATTTTCTTGCACACAATTGTATCACTCTCTAAATGAAGAAAATATTATAATCAATTATATATTTATTATATTTTGATTGAAAATTTGACACGTTTTTCTGAAAAATAAATGTATTGTTTGAGTTATAAATAGTATTCCCTCTGGTCCTTAGTATAAGACTAATTTTGTAATGTAAATTGTATTACAAAATTAGCTTTATATTAAATATCAGAGGAGTATTATTTTATATTGATATTAATTTCATATGTAAAATTGACAAATTATACTCCCTTTGGTCCTTATTATAAGGGGTTAACAAAGTAATTCACACAGACTAAGAAATAATAACTGTATCATAAAATGTACACCGAAGGTATAAAATTTTTCAAACCTATACTCATAACAAATTTCGACGAGTTATTGAAAAGATATTTACATGAGTAATATTATCCTCAGTCTTTAATATAAGAAGTAGTTGATTATTTGGGTAGATTAAGAAAATTAGTTAAATTCATTATTTGTAATACATAGGTATTATCATTTCTAAAATATTATTGTTAATAAAGTGTATTTGATAGAACTATTGTTATTACAAAGACTACTTTTAAAAAATAAATAAATATAAAAGACAAAATGAATTAAAGTGTTATATTTAGGATCAAAATAAAATCTAAACAAGTTGTTATATTAAAAATCAGAGGTAGTAATAATTTGTAATTGGGGATAAATTGGGAAAAGATTTATCAATGACCTTGTTGACTCCTTATAATAACGATCAAAATTTTATTCAAGACAACCTTTTGTCATAGGGACCAGAGGGAGTATGAAAGGAGATGAAAACAAGAGTGAAGCTAGTCGATTGCCTAAACAGAGTGGTCTAACACTTTAGCTTCATAACTCATTGGTCAGAACTCAGAAGCTCATTTTCAATTATGATTTATAGAATGAGATATGTAAGAGGAGCACTATCTCAATTTATGTGAAATATGTATAAGCATTTAAATAAGTCAACCTATTACATTAAAGGAGAAAAAAAAAAAAGCCAACCTATTTGCTAGCATACTGGTATTAGGCAGAACTGATTAATATACATATTACATAAAAATTAGTAATATTCATATGATTCTTAATATAGGACCTAAATTAAGAATTGATGTTGGTTTTATATAGAAGACTTATTTTGCATATTTATCAATTTTTTTAAAATTAACTCTATTAGTATTCTTTCAACAATAATCAAATAGTCGATCAAACGAGGAAATTAAGAAAGATTATTAGAATGTTTTACAAAAAATATAACTTTTTAGCTAATTTAATTAATATTTTTAATCTACTCAAATTAATTAATTAGGGTTTATAGTAAGGACCACATGAGTAATATATTTTTCTTAAACTATAAAATACAAAATTTAAACAATAATTAAAAAAGACACAACATTTTCAGGCAAAAAAAAAAAAGACACATAACATTGTAGGCAAATTGATTTTTCTTTCCTACCAACCGGAGACATATTGGGTGCTACTGGTAACAAGTTTTAAACTCTTGAGCATGTAATATGTCTAGTCTTATTTATAAAATTTTATTTGTAAGCTATAAACGAGTTATTATAAATACTTGGTAAAAAAAAAAAACGAGTTATTATAAGTAGAATCGGAGATACTAATTGATAAAAAAACAAAACGAAAAACGTTAGTGGGAACAGAGCAATAAATGATCATGACAGCGGCCGAAAAAGTAATAAATGAATATGACAAAAGAATGAATAAAATAAGAGAACTCGAGCAGCACGAGCGGTTCAGTGAACAAGGTGCAGAGGTTTAAGCAAGCACGCACTGCTTAATGTGGAACCATGAGCACAAAGTTTGTGGAATTGTGGGCGCATTATCTGAAGCTCTGATTGAAGTTATTTCATTTGGAGTAATAAAACTATTGGTGATTCATTTTTTAAGAGTTTGATGCAATAGACAACCAAGTAATCCCATGCTCACCTTAGCTAAAGAATTGGTTTTAATTTTATATGCAAGACATTAATTCATTTTATTATTCATGCTTGTCCTTTTTTTTAAAACTAATTTATATGATTTATAAATGACTGATAATCAAATAATATTATGTAAGAGTATTTTAAGATATTATATCACATTTGTTATGATAAAATAATTTATTTAATTCCATTAATTTTTCTATATTAATTAAGCTGCTTTATATTAATAGAAAGATACATCCTCATTAAGAGACGAGAGATATACATAGTCCAGTGTGAAACAGAGCCATGCAAAAGCGGCAAAGCTCTATGTCCAGACAATTTACCGAAAGGAACGTGGGACCTACTTCCCCCCTATGTGCTGGGCATGCCATGAAAACACAATGCCATAAAAGGGCATTAATCAACATATCTTCAAATCAATACTAGTACCATATTTAAGCCCAAAAATAACGAATTAATAATAGCTAAGTTTTTTTTTTAAAAAAAAAAAGTTGCAAATGTTCATTAAAGTTGGGGAAAAAAGTCAATTATAAATTGAGAGTAACATTTAAAATTTAAATGTTTAATTACAGTTTAATCTGAGACCTGATTCTCTGAACAATCTTCGCACACGTACATTGTGTGTCCACAGAAAAAAAATTGTCATCTCCATGTCATCTTTCAAGCGTTTCCCACTTTTTGTTCAATTAGTTTCACTTTTTCCCTTCTTTTCTCCCTTGAACTGCAGAAAAGATGATGAGATGTTTGGACTGTATCTTTAGGGACCATACAGTGCATTACTGGTATCAGTTTTGAGTCTCACCTCAGGCCTATATCTTTCAATCAACACCTCTTCAAACCCAAATGGATCATAGCATAAATCCCTGAAATAATCATCGTCCTCTGCACGTAAAGTTCTCTGCTTTTTCCCACTGTGTCACTTTTTTTTTTCCTTATCTCTTCTATAACGGAGATGGAAGCCATGGGCTCTTCTTGTTCTTCTTCAGGTGAAGGCGGAACAATGGCTCGTCCTCCTCTGCTTTCTCAAACCCAGAGACGCAAGGGTGGCTTCATCACTATGCCCTTCATTATAGGTATTACTTTGCTCCAATCCATTCATTTCCAAACAACATATTTACTGGTTTTGTTACATTATTGATTTCTGTGGCATAATCTGGTTTTGGTTCATAATGTTGCAGCAAATGAGGCACTTGCCAAGGTGGCGAGCTTAGGGATTGGGCCGAACATGGTTCTGTATTTGATGGGGCATTACAGACTTCATATAGCCGCAGCCACAAGGATACTCTTATTATCCTCTGCTGCTGGAAATTTCACTCCTTTGGTCGGTGCTTTTCTCGGTGATTCTTATCTGGGTCGGTTCCTCGCTGTTGGCTTAGGTTCTGTCATCACTTTCCTGGTATTCTTCCTTTTCCCCTTCCTTTTCTTTTCAGGAAGAAGCAAAGTTCAGTTCACAAGCGTATCTTGCTCTTTCACTGTTTAATAATTGCAATACATAGTAAGGAACTCATGAATCCTGCTAAATATATAGCAGACTGATTTGACTACTGCAAAATATATATCGATTAATTATTGCAATACATTACTATACTTCATTAATTTGTTGACCAAGCTGTTTTGACTGAGTCTGTCATAATCTGAACCATCTCAATTTGTGCTAATAACTTCAACGGGCCAATTTTCTACTAATAATAAACAATCTGTAAGATCTTGCACGTTGCTTATTGTTAGTAGAACAAAATAGACTAACATGATAATGACCATAACTGAATTTTCATAAGAGGAGAGTGAAGTGATAGGGAGGAGGGAATGATGATTCACTGATTATTACAGGAGAAACCCAAGTTTATGGTTCACCAAATGTTATATTAGAATAAAATCATAAAAATAATGCTTATATTGGGATATATGGTGATTATTATGGGAAAGATTATTCCTAGGAATCCTGAAGAGTTGAAGCAAATGAAACCTTACTTTCTATCGTACAAATTACTCCGTCAGTCCTTAATACAAGATCTGTTTAACTAATTTGATTATATTAAGAAAGTTAGATAAATTCTTTAATATCTTCTCTCCTTCTTCTATTTGATTATGGTTGAGGGAGATCCATAGGAGTAATTTAGGAAAAATTAATAAATATGATAAATAAGTTTTATATTTAAGATCAAAATCAACTCAACAAGTAGGTCTTAAATATAGGACCGGAGGAGTATTAACTTCCAAAGTAGCACATAGACAAAGCTGGACATTCTTCATGTGGTATGTTAGAGAATGAGGCCTACAAGAACAAAGTTTTGGGCTTGATGCACTAATATAGCATCATTAAAGTTGAATAATTTATCTAACTGTATTGTGCAGACTTTAAATTACCCATTGGGTGAGTTGGCATTCAAAATCTGCTGAAAGTAATGTTGTTTTCTTTAATGACAGGGAATAACACTCTTGTGGCTAACAGCCATGATGCCACAGGCAAGACCACCACCTTGCAACCAGGCAACAGAAATAAGTAGCTCAGCAACTTTAGGGCAAATGATTCTCTTACTCTCTTGCTTTGCTCTCATGAACATTGGAACCGGTGGGCTTGGTTGCTCATTAGCATTTGGTGCAGATCAAGTGAACAAAAAGAATAACCCCAATAACCAGAGAGTCTTAGAAATATTCTTCAGCTGGTATTATGCTTCAACTGCTGCTGCTGTCATAATTGCCTTCACTGCAATAGTTTATGTCCAAGATCATTTTGGGTGGAAACTGGGTTTTGGAGTCCCTGCTGCACTAATGTTCTTATCAACCTTCTTGTTCTTCCTTGCTTCTCCTCTTTATATAAAGCAGAATCCAACAGCTAGCTTGATCACTAGCTTCTCACGTGTCGTTGCTGCGTGGTATAAGAACAGAAAACTTCAGCTTCCACCCAAGAACTCATCTGGAAGGTATCATCATGAGGAGGGCTCAGATGTCCTTGTTCCATCTGATAAACTCAGGTGATATCAAAACTCCCATTTATTAGACTTTAGAGAATTAAGTAGATATTAGGCTTGTCTTTCTATCAAAATAGCTTTAGCCATTTAATAGGACTTACCTTCAGATTATTTATCTTTAATTCATTCTTCACTTAAGTCAACATGGGAATCTAATATCTTTTAATACCATTCTTCATGAATCAATGTGCAACATTAGATGACACCTTTATTTGTACAGGTTTCTGAATAAGGCTTGTTTGATCAAAGATCCAGAAAAAGATATAGCCCCAGATGGTTCAGCAACAAATCCATGGAGTCTCTGTACTGCACGGGAAGTGGAAGAACTAAAAGCTATCATGAAAGTGATTCCACTGTGGTCTACTGGGATAATGATGTCGGTTAATGCTAGCCAAGGCTCATTTCCGTTGCTCCAAGCCAAATCCTTGAATAGACATATCACATCAAGCTTTGAAATCCCAGCAGGCTCATTGACTGTAATCATGATATTCACAATATTTGTGTGGGTAGGTATCTATGACCGTCTCCTCCTTCCTCTAGCATCAAAGATCAGAGGCAAACCAGTTAGGATTGGTGCAAAAAAGAGAATGGGAATTGGGTTATTCTTCTACTTTCTCCAATTGATTGTTGCAGCAGTCGTGGAGACTATAAGGCGAAGAAAAGCCATTGAAGAGGGACATATTGATGATGTTCACGCAGTTCTTGACATGTCCATAGCGTGGCTTTTCCCTCAACTTTGCCTTGCAGGCATAGCAGAAGCATTCAATGCAATAGGCCAACAAGAGTTCTATTACTCGGAGTTTCCAAGGAGCATGTCGAGCATTGCCTCGTCATTGTTTGGGCTGGGAATGGCAGGTGGCAACTTGGTGGCCACCATTGTGTTCAGCACTGTGGATGACATAACTTCAAGAGGAGGAAAACAGAGCTGGGTCTCAGATAATATAAATAGGGGTCGTTATGACAGGTATTATTGGATTCTTGTCACAATGGGTGGTGTTAATCTGCTGTATTACCTGTTTTGTAGTTGGGTTTATGGACCAACTTCTGATGAATTACCGAAAGAAAATGAAGAAATTGCTTCAATGGAGGAAGACTTTACTGAAGCAAAAAATGGGGATAACGATGAAAAGGACAAATAGGAGAGGATTGATGGACATGTTGAGAAGTTCCAATAGTTTCTTGGTTAATAAACCAGAGATTGAATAGCCATGATTGTTTCCTTCCCCTTAGAAATTTATAGTTAGAGATGTGAATAGGCTTCATCCATATATATATATATATATATATATATATATATATATTGCATAGTTTCACTTTTATATCAATAATCTTGATTGTGGTATGGATGAAATTTCAATGCTGGAGATGAATACACTTTTGAAGGTAAAAAAAGGCCTATTTGTGAAAGATATGTTGGTGATAAGGAGAGGGCTTGATTTACCTGTCATCTAAATTAATCATAGCTATAAACTGTCAGCTAATAACCAAAATTTAATTATATCAACAGCATCTCAAATTTAGACAATACAAACCCTTTAGTCCTACTCCTATAGTGTTAACCTTCAATGATAAGAGATCCGGGCTGGTTTTTCAGTTTTATCTGGCCTGTTTATTTGATCTTTCATAGGCTTCCAAATGCAAAGTAATATTCCTCTTGTATTAAATATAAAACTTATTTTATAGTGTAATTTATATTATAAAAAAGGTTTGGAATCGGAGGAGTAATTTTTTCTTCCCATAAATAAAACTTCATAAATTATGTCACCGTGCATCTAAATAAGAGTAATTTATTTTCACTAATTTTGCTCAAAAATTTGTTTTCACTAATTTCGTATTAGTAACACCTCCAAACATTATGGCAACATCGAAAATTGTCCTTGTCTATGGATCTGCCACATAAAACAGCAAGATGCATAGGGCACGAATGTGTAGTATAATCCGAGAAAAAAGAAGTTCAATTAATTAACATTCCCTCCTCTCATTAAAATAAGAGGTCTTTAATTACTTTAAATAGATTTACTAATACGTTTTTTCTCCAGAACGAGTTCGCCACCACTGTAGCAACACCATCAAGTCAAATGAATTAGTTAGTTATAATAAATATAACAAGATTTATTTAAAATACCCATTTTTAAGTAGACAGATGTTTTATATTTAGAATCAAATTTAACTCCCAATCAGTTTTGATATTAGGGACCGAAAGGAAGAATATACTACCCTAATCTTTATTATAAGAGCTACTTAATTAACTAATTTGAATATATTAGGAAAGTCAAATAAATAAATAAATGATAATAAATATAATATTGACTCCCTAAAGCATCCTTCTATAACATTAAAATACATACATATATTTATATATATCAGTTTTTACATTGGATAAATTGATTTGAAAGAAATGATAAATATAACAAATAAAATAAATTAAAATCTTATATTTATGATAAATTTTAATCCCTGATTAGTTCTCGTACTAAATATCAGAGTGAGTAGTGTACACCTGGCTGAGGTTGGAATCAAAATCATGGACGGCTTTGATAAGGGGTGGGCGGCCGGGTGGGTATGATGCAGACAGGTCATATGCTAATCCGGTATTGCTTAATGCAGGAACACGTTAACAATGTCATGTGAACGTTGACGCGTGGATGATAAGGAACAAAAAAGCACAAGATCTCAACCCTTCTCTCGCACGGTCTTGAATATGCTACTTTCTGCCCTTATTGTAAAAACTAATTAAATAATTTGAATAAATTAAGAAAGTTTGTTAAGTTAGTTACTTGTGATAAATAGGTATTGCCTTCCCTAAAATATTTTTGCTAATCATATGTATTAGTTAGAGTTACCATTTGATGAAATTTTTAACATGTGCAATTACTACAAAGACTACTTTAAAAAAATAGATAAATATGAAAACAAAATGGATTGGGATCTTTTATTTAAAATCAAGTTAAAAGTCAAACTAGATCTTATACTAAGGAATAGAGGTAGTGAATTAAAGAGAAGAACCAATAGGGAGTAATATTTATAGGAAAGAATCATAAAAATTAAAATTATTTAAATACAAATTTAAAAATATTATATTGTTCCTATTCAAACCTCCCGTATTTTCTCATATATTTCTTCCTACATTTTATTTTTCAAAATAATACAAATTAATAAATTTTACTAAATTAAACATGGTTTCTCTCAAAATTTACAACCTACAACCTAAGTAAATTTTTTTAAAAAAAAATAGAGAAAATATTGTTCAGCCATGTAAAAATTAAATTTTTATTTTCTTTATAAAAATTTTAAATTTTCATTTTAAAACTCTCACAAAATTTAATTGCAAATAAAAGTTATATAATTTTATTTAAATTTAGATTATTATATAATTTATCATATAAATTTTTTTTAAAAGTTCAAAGAAAATGATTTCTTTAAATTTCTTAACATTACATGAATTTTTTTATTTTAAATCTGATATAAAATTTTATCAAATAAAAAAATATTATACGAATTTTTTTGAATTTTTTTAAATCATGTGTATAATAAATTATTTAATCATCTAAATTTTAATAGAATTATATAACTTTTATTTTCAATTAAAATTTGTGATGATTTTAAAAATAAAATTTTAATTTTTTATAAAGAAAATAAAACTTTAATCTTTACATGAATTTCCATTTTTTTAAATTAATTTTATGCAAGTTGTAAACTTTGTGAGAAATCAGGTTTAATTTAGCAAAATTTGCTATTTTTCATTAGTTTTAAAAATAAAATGTAGGAGGGAATATAGGAGAAAATATAAGAGGTTTGGACAGGGACAACATGGTTTTTTTAAAATTTATATTTAAATATTTGGTCATTTTAAATAATTTTAATTTTTATGATCCTTTCCTATAAATATCACTTCCTATTGATCCTTTTTTCTAATTCTATTATTTTTCTCCTCTCAATAATTGATTTAGAAAACTTAAGCGGCGTTTGATTAATAAAAACATTTTTTAAAATGTTTTCACGTAGTTTGATATGAAACTATTCTTACATACTTATTTCATGCATGGTAAATTTGTTTTTATAACTATAATTTGGTTTCTGCCTAAACATTATCTTAGAAGAAACCATTGGCTTTTACTCCTTCATTGTTACTCTCACATTAAAAGCTTTTGTCCAATATAATCTCCTTTCTATATCGATAGAACAAAGCCTTTTCTTTTTCGTGCCAGCCATGGAACAAAGCACTTGCTCTCATAATATAATGCCATTTTTCTGGTAGGCACCATCTCGAGCTATTATTGCATGATCTTAAATAAGATGATACATTTTTCAATTTTAAATGTAAAAATTCAATAATTACTTTATACAAATAAAAATATATTTGAATATGTTATTTATAAAAATGTTTTCATTTCCCTGAAATAAAGTACAACTTTTCATGATTTATATTAAAACTATTCTTTTAATAGAATACCTCTTAATATGTGTAAATAATTGAGTTTATAAAAAATTATAAATTAAAAAAGGTAGATTAAAATTTTATATTTAGAATCAAAGTAAATTATTTTATTTATTTTTATATTTAAAGTGGGAGGGAGTAGTAGTTTTTCTTATATAGAGTATTATAAAAAATATTATTTTTTTGTTTAATATTACATAGTACTAAGATTTGTATTAATGGATGTCAAGTGTTCCACCTCCCTACTGCATGACTTTTTCTTTTCTTCTTTCATTTTAAAGATAGATCATTACACCATTTTCATCTCGATTTTAAAGATGTCTAGCACTTTGTATATGCACATATATAAATCATTATATATGTGTGTGTATGTACACACACAACATGCTAAGTGTTTTATTTTAGCAAAAATTATTTGTTTAATTTACTTGATGAAGGATATAGCCAAATCAAGTTAATTACGTTGTGATAAGCATACAGTATATTTAGAGTTTCGAGAAAATTTTAGGGTAAAGTAGTATCTAACACTATAATATTATTTGTTTATGGTGCATTCAATATCTTAATTTTTTTATATTTTTAACACCTTAATCTTATTTATAATGTATCTAGCACCTTAAACCATAAATAAGATTATGATGTTCCATGTAATGATATTGAGGTGCTGAATGTGCTATAAATAAAATCAGGATATGAGATGTAACTGTAAAATAATATCAGAGTATTGGATACAATTTTACTCTAAATTTTATTAAGAATTTGTGCCCATTTGATTTATTATCGCTCCTTTGTTTATCGCAGATTTCTATCAACCAATAGAAGCAAATGAACGTAACTTCGTCTTACAAAAAATATGGAGCACATATATTAATGCGGTCCTCATTTTTTTAAAAATCTAATTCACCACCTACTTTTCATGTATAAACGAGGAAAGAGTTAATTATAATATAATTATTAAACGTGGTTTGACTCATTGTATTCAAAATTTGATATATCATACAAATAAAAACCTTTTCTCCCGATCAATTTTCTGTTTGAAAAATCGAAAATTTCACGTAAATATGAATCTCTTGTACTATTGTCAATATGATAATAAAATAAACTCAAAACATGATAAGCTAGTTAAGAACGTAAATTGATTTTCAATGTGAATAAAAATAGTTGAATAATTGTTTTTTTAATTAAAAAACAGAAAGTATGTAAGAAATTAAAAAAAAGCTTACTTAATTTACAAAAAATAAAATGAAGAAAAACTAAGTCCAAAGTTTTTAGTAAAAATATATCCTAAGTAATATGTGTGTATAATAGTTCAATGAATTGGCAAAAAACAAAAATTCAGTAAAATCTAAATCCAAGGACATAAAATAATAATAATCAAGAAGGAAGCTACTAATACTAGAAAAAATTTGATTTTTAGTATCGTTGTTGAAAGTCTAAAAGTCACCACTAAAAACTAAAAGTCGCCGCTAAAAACTCACTGCTGAAAACCAAAAGTCATCACTGAAAGTTTTCAGCAGCGACCTTTTGTCACTACTAGATCATTGCTCTAATGGCTGTGACTGATAAGTATTTGTGGCAACAAACTTATCAGCAAAACCAATAATGTTTGTTCTCTTCCTCGTAGATACTTGCATCGATGGCACGATGGTAATCTTAGCTTCTACTGTTCTGCACTTCTACGCTACGTGTGGCCGCGTGTGTGTAACAGGGAGGGAGGGAGTGAATTGACCAAGCGTCGAGTGAATGTGAATATGTGATTACTGGTTAGGGATTTAGGGTTTTGCTTGGACAAGTAAACAGTGGTCAAGCTGAAGCTGTACAAAAAAGATATAAATAAAAAAAAATTTTGGTGTGCTTAAAC